GTTTAAAAATAAAATTATGTCTTATAAGTGATTGATTTTATCAACCCAAATGATACAAAACTGTGAGTAAATGCTAATCTTAGTAGCTACTTAAACATCAATTAAAATCTAATACAAGGACCTAAATTTACAAGCATCACGATATTCACGCTGAATCATAGCACTACGATAAGGACAAACCAGCTATTTATTTCCTAGGGGCCTACCATGAACTTTCTTAAAACGCTCCAGTTGAGATGCTGATGAGTTTAGGTACCTAAAGTCAATAACATTTTTTCGTACCATGACCGCCTATTTAAGCTGAAACGTATTGGCATCGCAAGACCGATAGTCCATTGAAATGTTACAATTTGAGGGCCAAACTGAACATTTGATAGAGGACGCAATTTTATTTATGGGACATGTAGGGGGGGTCAATATAAGCTTAACCCCAAGTTTGTGGGGTTGGCGCCTTTGTCCCCCTGCCGCCATGTTGGAAAAAGGGATGAAAACACGTTTTTGGCTATATCTCCTAAACTATCCATCGTACATAAAATTTGAAAAGACACATTTTGTAGCAAATCGCTGTGCCTACAATTATGTATATTTGAGTTTTTATTATAAATACAAAAAGTCCAAAAAATTTTTCTTTAGATTTTATCAAAAAACTATGTAAGAACAATTTTGTAGAGGATCTCTTTCAGAAGATGACGACATTTACGTATGGACAAATATTAAATATACAGCCCCCTACAGTTTTTTATGTAAAACTACCAAGATTCGAAATAAATCCATTTTGTTCGAGCTTAACAAAATGGGACATATTGGGACGCAGCAGTCGACGCGCGTTTGCCGGTTTGCTTCAGTCAATTCGTGAGGTACCCATCTTTCAAGCTTTTTATTCTTCCCAATTTGCTTCAAGTGAATTAAAAAAGTTTTATCACTAACACCGCAGCCTGCAGCTAATTCGGACGTGGTTTGCGATGGATCCGCTTCCACAATAGCCTTCAATTCTTCATTATCAACTTGGGTCTCAGGCCGTCCATGGGGCTTGTTCTGCAGATCAAAATTTCCAGAACGAAAACGTTGGAACCAAAAACGAACTGTGTTTTCTTTTGCAACATGACCGCCATACACATCATTCACCCTTCGAGTCGTTCTCGCAGCACTAAAGCCACGGCGGAACTCGTACTCGTAAATAATGCGATACTTTAAGTTTTCCATTTTGTAAAATGAGTGACGCAAACAGAAAAAAACAGAAGAAAAAAACAAATGAATGACGATCATCGATGATCGAAGCACAAATACATGAGTAAATAGCTGTACAAATTTGAATTTGGAATTCCTTACCAAAGAGGAGAACATCGTGATTAAAGTGGCCAGTACGAAATATAATCACACTTTTGAGTTTAAAACTTTAAAGAGTGTGATATAATCACACTCTCTAAACTCAAAATACCCCAAAATATCCGAAATATACAAATATTTTTTCCTATATTACTGGTACTAACTTAAGTAGTAGTAACTTTATTAACAAGTTTTAATTAAAATATTGAATTTTATAGGTTCTAAACTATTATTTGGACATTTCGATACAAAAAAAGTTGAACAAAAAGTAACTTTTTTAGAATCGCTTATTCTGTCATAGTTTGAAGGCGCAACTGTCAAATTTCGGTTCAGCCGAGCGGTCATGGTACGAATTTTCATAAAAATTTAACGGACGATATCTGATAACCGCTAAGGTCACGTGAGATCATAAACTGTCTCATTTTTTCGATGTCATGTACGAATTAGCGATGCATCTCAGTTGTAGGTTGTCAATAGGCTCGTACTAAGAGCTCATAGTAGGCCCCCAGTTCTTCATACGAATTACCTAAAAGAGGTGCTTGTTGATTGAAAGCATTTTTATCCATGCAGCTTCTGGTCGTTGTTCCCTGTTCTGACACGATTTATTTCCTATTCGTTTAGAAAAACAGTTAAATTGTGTTTTTATGATGTTTTGAAAAAATTGATCAAATCAGTTCTTCATACGTTTTACCTTAAAAGACGATTGCTGATTGAAAGAATATTTATACTTGCAGGTTCTGGTCGTTGTTCCCTACTTTTTAATTACATTAGGCCATTAAACTTATTAATAGGTTTCAATTGTCTTAACAGTAGGCTTAGCGATGCCTAACAAGATTAACTTCATTAAGTGCCTTTGTAGTCTTCTCACATGAACTAAAAAGATTATAGAGCATTTCCGGTAACAAATGTCCTACAAGTCCATAGACACGACACTTCACTCGCATAGACAATATTGTTATAAATATGATTTATGAACGTCGTCATATCGTGTTACCTACTGTCGGACCTACACTTCTAAGTTATTATATCTATACTATAATGTCCAGTTACTGTCAAAGTCATGTTAATTTTCAAATACCAAGATTGTTTAGCACTGTAGCTACCTTAAATACCCCGTCGTTTTTTCCACACAGACGCTGGCAGGGTCGATGGAACAAATAATTACAATATTTGTTCAATTGTATAAAAAGTTACAGTCGAACGAAACAATTGAGTGTTCTTATTTCATAAGAACGTTTCTACTCTAAGCATGTTAGTTATATTTTTGCAACAAATGTTTGTTTATTCGCTTCATATTAACAGCCTTAATTATTCTTATATTCACTCCTTCATTATTATTGCTATTCTCCCTGAAAAACATTTGATAATACTATATTAAATTAGAGATTGAGGTGCGTATTTTAAAAACAGCAAACTTTAATACAAACTATGGTGATGTCATACGAAGCTACATTTGTGTGAAACTATAGTGCACGAGATTTAATACAAAATCAAGGTAATGATACAATAAGTCCACCAGTATCGCGTGTGCCGCTCTCGTGCCAACTAACTATTGTGTAGTTTCGTGATATCCTGTATTTATTTTAGTGAAAACCAAATATTCATTAAATCTTATTGTAAACAAGAAGTTGTGAACAAAGAGATTAACAAAGTACTAATTTTCATAATTCCACGCCATTGTTTTAATAAAAAAAATTTAGTAAATTTAAATTGTAAAATGTTTGGGTATTTTGCCTTGCAAAGTCTGAATATTTTAAGGATATTAAGTCATTTGGTTTCAACAAAAAGTTTACAACTTACTTAACAATAGTTACAAAACTAATATAAGTTCGCAATGAAAGTAAAACCTTAATTTCATATGATTTATACATCAGTGATGAGAGTAGTGTTTGTTTTAAGCATTAAAATTTCCAGTGGATTAAATGATTTCCTACAATTACGTAATATTCCATAGTATCGCTTATTACGCAAAGTCTCAGTTACTATTTGAACTTTGTCATAGAAACTAACATAAAAACATTGTGCTTAAGTTTTTTTTACCATCGACGCTTCAAGGCTTGGAGACCAATTGTCTTTAACTAATTATTTGGTAACTCAAGGAATTATCATTTATCGACCAAGCATGTCGACAATAATATATTGTAATTATTTTTATTCTAGCGGTCTGTTCCTTTAGATGCCGTTTTTAGCTCCATGCTTGTATAGGTTTTGGAGAAATGATGAAATCGATTTGAAGATAAGATGGAGATATTGAAAACATTACCCCAAAAATATAAATTCAAAAAGTCGTAATTTTTTCAATAGAATCAGCATAGGCTGAACTTCAAATGATTGTCGTAAGCTGCTGATAAGGGCTGGTACCCCTGAAATTGCATTACGCTGTTACTCTACAGTATTACTTATGGCAAAGACAATTAAAGTAAAAGTTACTTTGTCTTTGGTTATTCCTTGAGCAGGGAATATCTTTGAGATTCTCTAAAATAATATAACTCGTAGATACATGGAGATTATTGTAGGATAATATTCAAACATCAAAAAAGATCTTATATTTAGATACGACCTGTGCGTGTGGTCTTTGACAAACACGTATTGACTGCAACGTGTAAGTTTCCTACATGATATCACAGTTTAAACACTTTGCTACATTATCCCTTTAGAACTACCAACTCCTACAGAATGTTCCCCCACTAACTTCAAATTCCACTAAATATCGATTAAAAACCTCTAAAGTTTTTGTTGTAATCTCTCGGCTTGAGAAGTAATTTCAAATATACATATTTGCCACAAATACAGATAAATCATTAAAACTAACGCTGCAGAGGTAGGTAAATCATAAATGGAACTACAACATATCTATATCTGCATAAAAAAGTAAGAAAATAATTATTTTCATTAAAAAAAATAAAATGAAATACGTATTCTCGGATTAGGCATTAAAAAGTATTATAAAATAGTATAAAATTTCGATCTTGAAGTATTATAGCTCTTTGATATTTCAGTCATAGCCACGTTAAGGAGGGGCCTTAAATTAAAGTACCTCATAAAAACCTGGTGGTTTTTAACATTCAACATTGAACATGTTGATTCTCCCTAAATTTGGAGGAAAAAACCCCGAGTTGGCATGACTGCTTTAGAAGAATTTCTAAAAACACTTTCTTATCGTTTCTGAAGGTTATCACGTTTAAACGTTCTGCGGTAATTAACAAGAAATTCAATGATTGTTTTAATTAAATGTTATTCCTTCGATATTCGCCATTTTCCTTTTAAAAATATCTAAATCTCTAAAGAACTCATACCATAGGGATTACTCGATTACGACTCAGTTAGTTAGTTGTTTACAAATTAATTTCAATAATTTAAATTAAATAACTGTCCCACATTATGTACGTTGTGACCTATCACGTACAAGTACATACTCTATTGTGTAAGGAATAGAGTATATTTAATAGACAATTAAGGTGTAAACAGGAAATCTAGTTGGTTACATCTACACGAAATTACTAATTTCCTTTTACTACTTACTCCATTAATATATCGCTGAAATAAGATAAGTAACGCAAATGATGTCATCATGATAAGGGCTCAGTCATTGATAGCACATAACATTGTGTACAAGTATATTTCTGACCATAACAAATATTTTAAAATGTTTTTCGCCTTATAAATTAAAAAATATGGTTTGCTGTGGAGGTTCCTACGTATCACCTAGAGAATCACGTAAGTTAAAATGACATTATACTTCTATAGCTTATGAACAGAAATGTACTAGCAAAACGTATTGGGATTAACGTGTATTTGCCCAAAACGGTGTTTTACTGATAAGGCGTAGTCACGTCTCAAAATAAACAACTTGCAAGTTTATGCCGTAATTGATAACTTATATATACTTAAAATACCTTTTTTATATTTATTTTGTGAAGTTTTTATTTATTACCTATAAAAAGGCTGAAGGATTTTCCTGCGAATCGAAGTCAGTACCTTCGCGTATTATGCCATACCCTAGGTAAACGCATTGTCAACTAAGCCACCAAATCGGTCGGGTTTTATTTACTGTGATGCATTTATAATTATGTTAGACAGACTTCTCATTTGAACACAGCTGAACTCTTAATTATCGAATACTTTTAACTGAATTGATTTAAGTGTTTGTATTATTATTTTTTTGTATTTGTCCTAATAGTTATCTGTGTTAACTTTCAGGAGAACCCATAAGGTATGACCCAACATTCAACGGCCCCATTCACAATCGCTCCTGTACTGATATATTATGGCTGATTGTATTTGTGCTCTTCCTTGGAGGATGGGGCTACGTTGGATATTACGGTAAGTTGCGGCATAAATCAAGTTTGTTTAGTACCTACTAATTAGAATTTAAATAATGTTCACCAGCCTAAATAGTATTCATTACCATGTGGTTATGTGCTCTATTTTCAACCCTGAGGTAATAATATGTTAGAACCGCTTGTGCTTCAAGGGATTTTTGCATTTTAAAGAAATCGGTATGTCTAGGAACAAACATTTGCGACCACGATTAATTGGAGGGGTATTCCGCTTTTCCGCAGATACATTCTAAAAAATGAATTTTGCACCTGAAAAAACTAGGTTATTTGCTTTGGACCATTTATAAGATGCTTTGAATAGTTGATGTTTTAAATGTGCACCTAAGAAACTACTTAGTCATAAATTATTTAAATAATGTTTAACATTCTTGATTAGTTATCCGCGTTTGAATAGAAACATTTTATTAACTTTATTCTAGGAGACGATTATACATCGCACCTAAATTCTATTCCTATTTCAGGTTTGACACGAGGTAGCATTGAAAAAATATTAGCACCAATCGACTCAAAGGGCCGGCGATGTGGGCTAGATTCTGGACTCGAAGAAAAAAAAATCTTATGTTTTTCAACATTGCCAAATGTCTTTCTCCTGGCACTCCAATTACTGGTTGTCCGACTACGCAGGTATTATAAAAGTTTGTTTAAGCAATATAGTGTAAAAGTAAAGTCCTAACAGGGTAATCATTTGGACATAAATTTGATATTTAATAAAATTCCCCTTGATATCACTTGAGTAACTCAACTTTACTTTAAAATAACTCGGCGATAAAATAATGATCCAGAATCACGTGCGCATTTATAATGTGCACTACCGAGGGGTAGAGCTTTTTTAATTACCTAAACAAAACTTATATTAAAATAGAGATATTTTTAAAAAAATCCTTCCAGGTTTGCGTGGAAAATTGTCCGGACAATACAATTATTTTCGAAAAAGAATTGAGTCATACCAGTTTTGAATCGCTAAGATCCAAAATGGTTTGCACCGATGATGTCAATATAAATACAATGACAAGTTCACAGGCACTTCAATATATGAAAGAAGAAAAGTGTGCGCGATTCCTATTAGCCAGTCAACCAGGTATGTATTAATTTTAATTAATATCGAATGCGAGAATCGGACTGGCGAATGAACCACGGACCCTGTTCGCCTGTCTAGTGACATTCGTATTTAGGCACTTGATACTGAAAAGGTGGTGTCAAAGTTCAGTACAGAACTTTATCTTAACATTACGAACTTATCTCCTGCATTGCTTACTAAAACAGCGGTGTCAGCCGAAAGAAACCGAAAAAGGTTCAATCGCTAGTCAATTTACAACTCAATATCTAATCCGAACAAACATATGACTAAGTGATTGGTATTAATCCAATAACATATTAGTGGTTGTACACAGGCATTCCGTGTGTGTGTGATTGTTGTGTGACAGTGTTTTGCATTTGTGTGATGTCCTTAATTGACATAAAGAATGGACTTAGTAGAGACAAACAGTGCTAAGCTTATCTTTATGTCTATTGTTGGCCTGCTTTATTATAAGTACAAAAGTTATGGCGCTTCAGTGTTGTTCCGCTGCATTGGTGACCTTTCAACTCTACAATGTCCAAAGACTAAAGACGGGGTCCGAAGTGGAAACCAGGAATGTGTTCGAAACCCTGTCGAGGCCCAGAAATCTTTGCTGAATAGAGCCACAGCACTCGATTCTTACATCGGTTGGATTGCTGCAAGCTGGGTGACCTTTTTCACGAAGGAGAATGAACGGGAGGCGCATATTGTATGTAGTGCTGCCTGCACGAAATTCTGCAAATGACATGTGAATGCACTACTAAACGCTTCGCATTTTACTTACTTGTTGCATGGGACGATATTAATTCTAAAATATGCTTTTGACATTTTAACCATTTTAGTAACACAACTCGTTTAGTTTACTGAATTTGAATGACGGTGTAAGTTTAAAACCAACGAAGCAGAAATTTTATTTAAATGTATTTTCATGTAAGCATTGAAGAAACCTTTAAATTATGGTAATGTAAGGTTTTCTAGATGTTCTTACAATTCGTTAGTAGTTAGAACTCCTTACATAATGAAACCTAAGCGGACTAATTGTACTACTAACCTTATGTTACTATGCTAGAAATAGTTACTTCCTATGAGGTGCGGGCATAAAATAACAATATATATATCGACGTAGGAAAGCACATTTGAAGTAGACATATTGCAATTGTTCACCAGAGCCAAAAACTTTATTAATTTCGTAAAAAAATTAATAGTGTCGTCCTATCCATGATATTGCTACCATTTTTGAAACATATATTTATTTAACTGCCAGTCACCATTTGAATGTAAACTTTTTTCCAAAGTTACTATAAGTACGTGTTTGGCTAGTTACAGCAAACAGTTTTTTAAATCACAAACCTTTAAAACGCTGTAACTAAGGAAGAAAAATGTACGCGCGGAAATATTATCAATTTACAGGCGGTAAATATGCTGTATGCAGGAAATTTATGTATTTGGGTACTTTTAATTGCAATTCAAGATGTAAGATTAGTTTATAATTATGATTAGATCTAGAAATGCAGTGGGTCATTTGGTAATGTAATGTTTGGTTGAAATAAAATGTCGTAAATGGTAAAAAACACCAAACTGTAGGTTCCCTAAACTTGCTGTAAGTAAACGAATGTAAAAATCACACGCCCCTGAAATGCTGTAAGTAGCGTTAAGTTTTTAAATGGGAAGAAGTAAGTATTTGTAAAGAAAAAATGCAGATTTTCTTTTGCTGTAAGTGCAAAATGTCTGAAATGACTAGACTTTGGTCTACATACAGCATTTAATCTTGCTAAAAATAATATAAGTACGGGCGTTTTCAACGGCGTATGTATTTTTTTTTCATCGTAGAGACACAGGACCCAGGTCATTCGATGCGGCTTTTTTTTCTGATTCTATGGCAGGAAAAAGTCACTTTGGTATTTTGTCTACTTCAGCAAATATGCTTTCCTACGTCGATATATATATATATATATATATATATATATTATTATTATATGTTATTAAAACATTTTCAGCCGTAATAAGGCCGTGGTGGTGAGAGAGTAAAACGAAAGACGAAATTTTGGTTTTGATTGTGATTTGACAAACGTCAGAATGCATATACGCGATGTCTACGTGTGTTGGACTATTAATAAATCAATGGCGCTACAACCTTCTTAGGTCTGGACCTTAGATTTCTGTATCTGTTTCATGGGCATTTGTCAATCTAATAGGCAGGTAGGTGATCCGCCATCTGTGACTGATCACTCTGCGACAACTTTTTGGGTCTAAGACATGTCGGTTTCTTCACACTGTTATCCTTCACTGTTCGAGCGAATGTTATATGCGCACATAGAAATAAAGTCTATTGGTGCACAGCCGGGGGGATCTAACCTCAGGAATGAGACTAGAACACTGAGGCCAACAATACTCTCTGCTGTGTTGGACTATAACGTGTAGGTATATATGTATAAACAAATAACATACAAATGGAACGTATCTTTTCGTATAGCATTCTCATCCCCCGTGTTAATTACACTGTTAAGTTAACACTATATAATATAGAAGTAACACATGCTTTTAACTAATGCACTGGTATCTGGCAGTTTTGGGGAGGTGCTTTGTTAACGTGACGTCAGTCGTCGTGGACGTGTTAGAAGAAGTTAGCAATGGTACATTAAACCTTGGCCAAGATGAAATAATTGACCAACTCGCCAATTTGATAAAGTTCGATCAGGTAGATAATTTTATTTTCTATATTACAAAAGTAAAAATTTTCCCAAAAAACAAAACAATTTTTGCATATCAATTTGAAATACCAAAATACGAAATTTTTTAATTAAATCGTTTTAGATTTCCAAATATAGTTTACTTTTATAGTAAGCGGGTAGTAATGGGTATTGCATGCTTAATTATAGTTTTTAAAAATATGTATTTTCTGGTTGCTTGAGAGAGAGCGCTTAGTAGCGATAAGCCTGCCCGTTGCTCTAGATACTTTTTATTTAAATTCTAAAGTTATATATTATTGATATTGCTCTATGCCCATATTCTGTCGAGCTATATACTATATTTGCATATTTCATCAATGGCTTTATTATTAATGCACTGAAATCACTTTACATGAACACATGCATTACTTAGAATTTCAATTTGCGCAATATAAAAATATTTTTATACATTTTTGTTTAGATGTGTATTGGCATTAAGTAAACTTAAAAACTATGTCTTAATGCACTGAAATTAAATTTTTATTTCAGCTTACGAGAGCCCGATCTTTCTGTAGCCAGCAGATAGCATAGCGATCTTTTTTGCAGAATTAATTAAAAACATATTTTGCTTTGTAGTCTATTAGGAGGATGACGTGCGTCGGTAAAATATTTACATATCTACACTTTAATATGGCTAAGTTACTTTGTGTATTCTGCACAGCTATCATCACAAATAGTTCAAGACCTGGTCCAGTCTAGATGGTACTTAGCAGGTGCGTTGGTTGCAGTCTTCGTGCTGTGCTTCATATACATTTTGCTGCTGCGATGGGTTGTGGCTCCGGTCGTTTGGGTATCAATTGCTGGTCTATTAGCATTGCTCTGTTTCGGTAAGCATATGTTGATGTTACCATATTCAACTTCCTTACCGTAAAGCATATTTTCAGTCAATGTTCTAAAAACATAAACTATAATATATAATTGTATGTAATAAATACGTTCGGTATGAGTTATTAAATAACAAACCCAATTCTATTACATTAATATTATAAAGAGGAAATTTTATTGTTTGCATTGCATAAGCTCCAAAACATATAAAAACTTAAAATAAAATATTGAAAATTTTTCTTTCCAGCTATGTTTCTCTGTTACAAGAATTTTGAATACTATAAGGCAAATCCAGCGGGTCTATACCAAACCAACAATTTAAAGGGATATGCTCAATCTATATTTTCCAAATACCAAACGTGGCTAGTTATATTAATTGCGTTGGCGGTTATTTTCCTAATCCTACTACTAGTAGTGATATTTCTACGAAATAGGATATCGGTTGCCATTGCCCTTATACGTGAAGGCAGCAAGTGAGTTGTTTTTTACCAATATCTACTAGACGATTTGTATAAAAAAATATTTGAAGAATGTACGTTTATTTTCTTTGATTTATATCCAATCAGTTATCCACACAATATTACAAATATCTTACGTTCAATGGGCTTGTAAGATTTTACGTATTATTAATGCTCAGTCCAGTACTCTTATCATATTGCCTTATCGTATCGTTTAGTTTTACTTTGAAGTATTAGATTTTTATTACATATATTAAGTAACCCCGAGTCAACGCCAAGTTTGGTTTGAAAGATCTCTAAAGTTTAATTGCGAATGTTTAAATATAACTGATTTCAGGGCAGTAACAGCGATCAAGTCGACAGTATTGTTCCCAGTATTCCCATGGATCTTACAATGTGGTATTATAGCGTATGGAGTGTTGGTGCTGATGCTGCTCCTCTCGATCGGAGAATCATCATTCCGAGTAGTAAACTTACGGAATGATACTACATGTAGCTGTGCCGGCGTTTATACTGAGGTAAACAAAAGAAGGTTTTTAATAGCGTTTGTTTTTGTATAATTAACAAAAAATAATTATATTTTGAATAAATAAAGAAATATTTTTTTTAATGAAAATATTAAGGTTTGTTTTTTCCATTACAATTAAATCAAACTTTTTTATTACGTTTTCAAATTATTTATATAAAAATGAATCGCAAAATTATGGTGCTGAGCTCAAAACTCGAAGACGATTGGACCAATTCAATGAACTTTTTTTATTCCTTAAAGTATAAGGAAGGTTTATTAGAAAGAAAAATGAAAAATTTAGTTCTTGGGTTTACATAGCGAAATGTTCCATAATATATAGGGAAGATCGTTACCCTTCGTACGCGGGGCACATTCATACAGTCAAAATAAAACTTGTACGAAACAAAGTACAGTCTTGTTTTTGTATGTGTGTTTTGTATGAGTCGAGGTACCAACTATACATCACCGAAGTTTCGCGAAATTCGCACCGATGAGAGTGAAGTTACAGGCATAGACGTGTTTTCGCGTTCGGTATGTAATTTTTTGATCAATGTTTTTGTCTCTTGTTACCGTAGATAAAATAAGTTTTCGTGTAGAGTATTCTATCAGTAACTAGCAAAATATACTTAAGATACGTCTCCAATACTTAATTTATGACGTTTTCCTATTAATATTAAAATTAGTTATATTTTGTTGTTATTCAGTTAGTGGGGTACTTTCGGACAGCACTAGATGGGGCACATTTGAACGAATTGTACATCTAAATTTGTATGAAAATATTTTGTCGACACAAACTGTCATTTTCATACAAATTAAGTTTTCGACTTGCTACATACACTACTGTTAAGGCATCTTGACTAAACCCTCTGGTAGTAGGAAAGATTGTGTTAGTGTGCTAATTGCTAATATTTGCATTAACTTTGTCCTGTGTTGCTATCATTGCTATCGTCGATGTAAATATATATTAATACCTATTTTTATTATCTTTATTAAGGTTGATTTTGATGCTTGTGAACCAGATGCTTTGAATAATTTACCAATCCATCAAATAGTAGTTCCTTCGAAGTCAGTTTTGACACCAGAAGCGTTTCGACCCTATCCGCATGTTGTAAGAAGTAATAAAACAAACAAAATGACGACGACGGCCAGGAAAACCACGAGTTTATACTGCCACGCCCGAAAATAAGAAGTGCTAATCCGCACCAAAGATTAAATAATGTGATTCTAAATTTAAGATACCTAACTAATTAAATTTTGTTTTACTTAAGAAAAGCTATGTAATTTTTGTTCACTATAAGAAAACTATTTTATTTTTGTTTAATAGAAGTTAAATCTTTATTTTTGTGTTTAATTTCATTGCTAATAAATGAATTTTGATTTATATGTGTCGTTTTAATCGCACGTACGGAACTACCCCACAGCGTACGAATGTACCCCCAACACTGTACGAAGGTGCCCCGTTGATGGAGCAGATTCGTACGTATTCCAGATTTAGTTTAAATCATAATTATGGTTGAAACATCAGATGAAATCATTTGTCATTTTTTAATCTCAAAATCTCAGATAGTAAGACTATAAATTTAAGCTATCAGATGATTGATTCATGGAAAAAGAAAAAAAAGAAAAAATAAAATGTGAAAACCGTACGAAGGGTCCCGACCTTCCCCTACTTGCTAGCTAGCTATACTATAAAGTCGGCTAAATATAAATTCTGATTAAGGCAAAACGAAGTTCACGGTAACAACTAGTTAGTATAAATAGGTTTGAGATTTTAGCGGGAGCGACCAAAATAACTTAATTTCCTTCTCTTTCAGGAAGGGCAATCGTGTAATCCAGCCAAATTCATAAGTGTCTGCCGTGACACTCAATCCGTAGGAGGTTTAATGCCTTGTTCTTTAGCCTCCTGTCATTTTACGGGAATCGAAAATCCTAATAGTGTGATTGCGTTGCATTGTAAGTACCTATAGATTTTTTCCTTTATAAAGACATAACAAATCTCATTAGCCGAATACAAATGTAGCAGAGCATTTAGCCTCTATTTCTAAACTCTTGAGTCGTACGTTTTGACCACGGCTCGAAATTAAATGGATTTAATATGTGTGCAATTAAATTAAATAAATAAGTAATTATGTGCCGTGATTTCTGGTTTATGGTAAAAAAATATTATTCATATAATTGTCAGTAATATAAAACGATATTTTATAGGTGTTGTACATACAAAGTGCATATGACTTTTTATTTTTATTTCTTTGATTTAATATTTTAATTTCAGTGGTCAATTTGCTTGGTTTCTTCTGGACAATGTTTTTCATTAGTGGCATCACTGATATGATGCTGGCGAGCACATTCTCCACTTGGTACTGGACTTTCAAAAAGAGGGAATTGCCATTCTTTACTCTCACTTCGGGAATATATAGAGTTCTTCGGTGGGTTATTCATATTTCTCCTCGTCTGATATATGCACATTAGGAAAGCATTTCATGTAGTTTAAATAACTTTAGCATTAATTATTAGCAATTCAAACGCGAGTGGTCAATAATTACCTATTAAGTCTATAAAGACAAAAAATTATATTCTCTTATTATTTAAGTGTACCTACCCCAAAACCGTACATTGTTTGTTAATTAATATTAATACGAAAATTCTCATGATTTAAATAGTTTGATTTATCTATTAAAAAGCGTTTAATAAATATATATGCCATGTAAATGATATTACGTGATAATATTTATTTTTAATTTAAAAACTAAATTTAACCATTCATTTTCCAGCTACCATCTAGGCACGGTTGCTTTTGGGGCTTTGATTATTGCAATTGTTCGAGTAATAAGGGTTATACTAGAATATCTAGACAGAAAGCTTAAGAAATTCGATAATCCATTCACTCGATGCATTATGTGTTTCTGCAAATGCTTCTTCTGGTGTTTGGAAAATTTCCTGAAGTTTATAAATAAGAATGCGTATATTATGTGCGCTGTGCACGGAAAGAACTTCTGCAAGAGTGCACACGATGCATTCTCGCTACTCATGAGAAACATTGTTAGAGTTGTGGTTTTGGATAAGGTAAGTTTTAAAAAAATATTAGTTTGTTATATGGGAGCAGGCGTGGCCAAAATGTTCCGTGGAAAAGTTATTGCTTAATTAACTATTTTCTTGATCAAGTTTCTAAAGCAAGACGTTCTGTGCTCATCTGTATCGCTGTTTCGAACCCGAAACAAACATAAGACTGAGGATAGTACCCCGATTATACGGATTATGCGTTAATGAACGACGAATAGTACCTAAGATATTGGAAATCTATCTATAACAACTTACCAAACGTATTACATAACAGGCGTTTAATCATCAAAAAATTTAGCAAGATATTTTATAACTCTACAGGTAGCAGATTTCATATTTTTCCTATCAAAACTACTGATCTCAATCGGTGTTGGATTCGCGGTGTATTACCTACTTGAATGGAACTACGTGTACGAAATAACTAATGGCGAAAAACTGCACTACAACTACGTACCAGCCATAATACTGAGCGTAGCCACCTACCTTATTTGTACTATTTTCTTCAATGTATACTCGATGGCTGTGGACACGCTATTTCTTTGCTTTTGTAAGTTTGTATTGTTTACTTATAATATCACAATTTTGCCTAAAAAGGCCCAAAACAAATTCGAGTATTTTTAGAATTATGAACGCTCCTGTCGATATCATATACAATTACTGTTACCAAATAATATCACGTCTCTCAATGTTAATACCCATTTTTAAACCAACGTCACTTCCTATTAACAAAAATACTAAAAATATGTCAAAAATTTACATACTTCAATTGGTATATTGGACTAAAGAATTAACATGTACTTAATTTTACAGTGGAAGATTGTGAGCGGAACGACGGCTCGTCCGAAAAGCCATACTTTATGTCTAAAAATCTATTGAAAATACTTGGCAAGAGAAATAAGAAACTAAACTAAGTCTTAAAAACTTTAAATAGTGTTTAAATTCATCTATTATTCAAGAAATTTTAATCAAATTTTTTAACTACCAAAACATCGCGTTGGATCGGTTTCAGATTGACCCTCTTGTCAATCTGAATGAATCGTCAGGAATCGACGACTAGACGTAGAACGCTGATATTTTGAATATTTACATTTAGAAGTATATCTACAGATTGATTTTCTATTGAACCTAAAATGTTATACAAAATTCCTCGTAATGAACATAGTAGTATTTGTTGTAGTAGTTTAGATTTTTGGACACATCAACCGCAAGTGCTAATGTTGAATTAAGGGCTTTATAAATCGGAAAATTGTAATAGATGTCTATGATAATGGATTCAAATGTTATTCCATCCACTATGTAATATCGTGCCAAAGTGTTGAAGCAGCATAGTTGTGATCTACAATAATTTACCATTAGGTATTTTTATACTAATATTCCACGCAATTTGTACATATTTTAGAATTTTATTTTTTTGTAAGTTCTATTATTTGTTAAATACCAAATATTTACTAAGCAGTACTGAAAGTCAAATTATTAATAGCATTTAGACATTTAAAATTTTATAAATCTTTTTAAATTTATAAACAATTAGAACTTTACTATTTATAGATATTTTGAAATAAACGTAATTATAAGAAAACCTAAGTCTTTTTATAACCTCAAAACCAAAGTTATATCGGGTCCTATAATAAATAAAAATAGGTTTCAATCTTCATCATAATCATTTATTCGATGTTGTGTTAAGAACGCAACATCAAGCATCGCTTCTGGGTCTAATAGATCTTTTACATTAAGGTATTTAAAACTTTCTTCATATGCATATCTTAAGCTATTGTCATCTAACATCATTTTTGAAGAGGCTAAAGCAGCTATGCAGTTCTTCATCCGAGCAATTGCTTTTCTTTCATGCTTGCTCACTTCCTGCAAAAAATAAAATTATACTTAAACCTTGTTATTGATTTAATAGTATAGTAACAGGACTTTTCACTGCGATTAAGACGAGTGCAATATTTGTGGAAGGAAATAGTTTTTATACATTCCATACAGATGAAGTAAGTAATTTATATGATGTGATTTAAAATAAGGTTCAAGTAGGTACTAATTTACAGAATTGTCTTGAAATGAATATAAAAGTAACTGATGCAGAATTGTGTATTGAGAATGCCTTATACACATTTGTCGTGTTACGGCAATATAAAAATGATCTACATGTGAAAGTTAATTTAGTGTCTAGGCATCATGTCAGCATTTAGGCAGAGGGTGAGATCACCTCCAACAACAAATAGTAAAATAAAAATTTCAACATCAATTGAATAAAATTAATATTTCACACAAATCTGGGTTTAATGATAAAGGTAGGTTAATATTTGAAACATTTACTGTTACCGGTGAACTGGTATCAGCGTTAACATTTCTAACTTCATTGGTAAGCTCCCTGGGGATTGGACTGATCCAAATAAAGCCATTGTTGCCTATGATCATTGATATACCGAAGGAAAAAACATGAAAGTGGTTCTTTCTTCTTCTGATCAATGATGGGAATACTTTTACCATAACACCTTGTTGTAACTGTAACAAATTTTTGATGTTAAACATTTTTGAATTATTATTTCATTATACAAACATAATTTAAAAAATGAGTACTCTGCAGAATCCTTATTATTTTGAGATGTATTTATGGGGCAAATGGAAAAAAGTTTACCCATGCTCAGACTCTCAATAATAAACATAATCATTGCCATCTTTGGATTTTGGTCCTGGGTTAAGTCTTGAGGAAAGGTAATGTAGAACTAATGCAACCTCAAATCCCACGGCGGTTCTGATAAAAACCTGAGGTTGGCTGTATTGATTACTATTATACTGTCTTCAACATTTTAAAGATGTTTCATGTACATTAAATAAATGTGAAGAACTAAATAAATAGGGTTTTCCACTAAGCTTTTAGTTTAAAATTTTATTTTATACCATGGAAAGCAGCAATAGAATAATTGTTCAAAACATGATTACAGATTATTATTACATTTTTTTTTTTAATTTATTTATTAGCCGGATTATTACATTTTAGGAACTAGTGTGACTATGTGGAATAATATAGAGATATATAAATTTACCTTGCCATACTTTAAACTTCTTGTATGTAAGGATAAAGAACCATCCGAGTAAATACTTTGAACTTCTGCACTTATTAGATCTCCTTCTTTTAGAAGCTGTCGCATCATTTGTTCATCCTCAGCTGACCTTCTTCTCTTTAAAAGAATATATAATAGGATATTAGGATAGAAAGTATCTAATATATAAATATTATTATATTCTAATAAATATATTAATTTCTTACCAATTCACCGCCAGGCAGGTTCACAGATGACAATTGAAGTACTGAATCTAACCGGGAGTTAGTTTCCACTTTCCATCTTTTCTGTTGCACTTCAATGACACGGCCGACTACTACATCACCAATTTCACCAACATATCTGCTTTTCAGGGGATGTATGCATATAAGTTTATTAACTTTTTGCATAACACCGGCCACGGATGATTTTATGTTGTTATCTTCTAAGTAGGTACCATGGCCTCTGAAATAGAAATAATACATCATAATTCACATTTTGAATCAAATCTTAATAATACTAGCAATAAATACAAGTATATAGGAACAAGCTGAATCTTTACAACCTTAACTATACATAGATATACTTCAAATGTAAACATGTATTGAGGTTATATTTCTTAGTCATAACAACTAAAAAGTTTTAAGTCATAATTTCACTACATAGCAATTTAAATATGAGCAACTAATAGATAAATTACGTTAACTACCGCATAAAATCTCCAAGACCACATATCACTTCTCCGGGTGTGAAAAATCGGGGTATTTCATTATTCGATGCAACGCTAGGATTAACTCTTTCAGATGCTAGTTTAATAGAAACATGGCCAGACATTTTTATATTCTCAATGAAGAAGGATAAAATAAAAGTAACCGAAAAATGAAAACTCCAATGAAACTTAATGTTTTCAAACAAAAAGTAAGTTCTTAATTTTTATCATACATTATCAAAGGACAAAGACCAAAGAAAATAGAGAGCTGGATATTCCTTTTTTTTCTTTTTTTTTTAAGTTTATGGCCTTGGATATTTCTTGATTCTTTGGCTTAAAGGTCTCGCCAGGCCATAAAATTAAAAAAGAAAAGAATTTCTTGATTCTTCACAAAAACAGATATATAGATACAAATATGCCATAGATTCGTAACAATAAAAGGCGGTGATTTAAAAATTGTACATCCCTTCTTTTAATATGAGTGCCGACTGGGCTATTAGGTATATCCATACGTACATATTTTAGCTAGTTCCGGTTTTTGGTCTTTGATTAAAAGTCTTGGAATACCTGTTTGGCTTAAAGGTCTCGTTACCAGGGGCTTAGTCAAGATGCCTTAACAGTATAAGTAGTGTATGTAGAAAGTCAAAAACTAAATTTGTATGAAAACTTTTCGACACGAACTGTCATTTCCATATAAATTTAGATTTTGACTTTCTACATACACTACTCATACTGTTAAGGGGGTCTAGCCATATTGGTGTCGAAAAGTATTCTACATACACTACCGCTTTTGCGTAATTGTATTGTCGAAAACGCTTCGTTCGTAGCCAAGAGACATGTCGATACATTACCGCAAAGTCGACAGCGTAGATGCGAGCTGCTGTTCGTAGCACCTTATTCCGTCATATTGTCTCTGGATTAAATGTATTCCTAATGTCACTTTTATAAACAAAAAAAAGTTAAAACTTTACAATATTATTGTAAATTTGCAATTGGAAGCTACAAAAGGGACATTAGAATGTCAGCAAGGTCGGAACAATTTTCGATTTAAGTGGAATTTACGGAAGGTGCAAAGTGAATATATGAATTTTAATTGCATGTTTAAATTAATTATGGTTTGTTTCATGTTTTCTCAGAAATTTAAGGCTACAAATAAATACAATATTTTGAAATTGCATAATCGCGATATATAATAATTAGTAGTACTCATACTTTGATATTTTTAGGATTTGACCTCACAACTAATCTACAAAATGAAGAAGCAACATATTTTGTTACCGCTTAGAAGAAACAATAAAAATAGTACTGTGGATTGATAAATAAAAAGTGAAAATAAGGTTGACTAGAAGTTGATAAAGTCCAAGGAATTAAAAAAACAATAGAAAAAAACGTAGACTAGTGTGATCACTGAAATTAGAGTTTGATTTAAGCTTTAATTAGGTTTGGTGTTTGTGCTTGAACATTTTTAATGTCAATTTGAAAGCAGATTTATATATAAGTGTAGATTTTATTAGTGATTTGCTACTAGTTGGAATTATCTCTGTTTATGTCCAACAAACAATTTCAGTTTAAGTTAGAGTCATAAAAGTTGATTGTTTATAATATATTTATACTTTTAGAAAGTGAGAATTGAAAAACAGCAAGTACCTACTCAATGAAATGAAAAGAGGAATTAATAAAAATTATAAAATAGAAACTTAGTCTGGTATGAAATTATAACCCTTAATCAACCTTTTGATTCCATATTGATGCTCCAACATCTTAGATATAATAGATATAAATTTAAGTTTGATGCTGATTTTAAGTTAATATTTATGTCAATTAACTTTTGGTTATATCAGTGATTTGCTACTAGTTAATATGTAAATGCAAAATCTGTTTAAGTAAGAAATGAATAAACATTGTATGTTATGTATTTGTCAGTTTTATTTTTGGTAATTTACCTATGTCTTCTTTAGTAGGAAAAGCCATTAAAGTGGTTCACAATATTAGTTTATTTTACAAGAATATACAGATAATGCATATATGAATTACCCATACCTACTAATAGTTAGGAATATTAAACAAACAGGTAGCAAAATAAAAATGTTTCAGTTATGGTTATTTTTTATTAAAATAAGGCACCAAATATCTTCCTTAACATAATGCAGTCTACATAGAAAAATAAGCATATGTAACAACTTATTAAACAATACAGACATTACTACTGAACACACGCAGGTGCACCAAATTAAATGCATTACTACCTAATGATGTATTCATATATGTAGATAATTAACTAATGTAAGTGTTAATTTGCAGCAATGTCAATATCTTGTTTGTATGCTGTTATATACAAAAAATTGTTCAATTCATAAAACCTAACGTTAGATGTTGTGATGATTTCATAAAATTACTATGATACCTACAGTTACTATGAATACATCCTGGGCGATTAAAAAAATAGTGATTGTTTCCTTAACACAACAATTGTAAATAATAATAGTTATTGTAAAGATATAATTCTTCCCAAAATCTACAAATGCAGTTTGTTTATAATAATATCTCATTAACATTCAAACTGCTGAACTTATTAAGATTAAATGTGGAAGAACATAGTTTCAGTTACTGTTTCCTGTTCTTGAGGTAATGTTACTTAACCAACCATTATTTCATACTCCACTTGTCTTATTTTTTACATTATTCATAAAATGCTTCGTTCCCCATTATCAAATTCATTTTCAGGTACATAATATAACACTTTAATTAATTAAAAGATAAGACTTTAGTAAAACTTGTCCATTTGTGGTTTTTTTTAATACTTTTAGTTGTCTTTTTCTGAAAATAAAATATTTTAGTTAGTACTTTGATCAATAGGTAACTTTAATATTAAAAGTCTTTACTTCATTCTAAACTTAAAAATATACTTCATTTGTCACTTTGCTGCTTATTGTCAATTAAAGTTTTTAATAACCAAACAATGTCAGTAACTCCCAAAGGACTTGAATTAAAACTTCTCATTCATTAACAATATTATAATAACTTCTCTAGTATATTAACTTAGTAAATAATTAAAGAAAATATCTGCTTACCATTAAGTACTTAGTATTGCTCACTATATTTTATATTTCCAAAGTTCATGAAGTAAAAATCCACTTTATTTGATTAATTTAAATCAATATTATATCATTAGCTTCTATTATAATTACAATAAAATATATTTAGAACTTCTAATAATGTTCATTAGTGACTGCTTTCTCATCTGAAATATACAAATAATATGTACAATCATTTTACTTTGTGATTACATAATATAAGCAATATTAAATGGTATATGTATTTTTCAAATTAAAGAAAAATAAAAAGATATCCAATATAACTAGGATTTACCTCTACTAATTTGCTGATTTTCTTGATATTTTCATATTTATCTGTGTCTATTATGTTATCCTCGCATTGATTCATAGAAAAACTAAAACTCTTAACTTAAAAATATTGACTCTAGTATAAATTATTATAATTACACGAGAACGTTAAAAAAAGACAGATAACAAATTAAAACCATTTCGTTAAAATGTCCAATATATGACATGTTTTTAAAACGGTAGCCATTAAAGATGGCGATAGTTGTACTGAATTATTGCAAACAGCAGCTTTTGAGATCACGCTAAAACATGGCGGAGAAACGCCGTTTTTTCTACACTGCCGAAACATTAATTGGCCGTTGGCTACCGAATAGCGTAAGCGTTAATGTGTGTCTTTTCGTAGCACTGTCATGGCGTCGCTTATTGTATCCCGACTCACGCCTTTAGGGCCTAGGCTACCGACTGTCGACACGAGCTGTCATTTTCATACAAATTTAGTTTTCGACTTTCTACATACACTACTGTTAAGCCATCTTGGCTAGACCCCAAGGCATCTTGACTAAGGCCCCTGGCAATATTTCTTTTTAAATTGGAATCCCTGTCAACTGTCAAGTGTAAATTTATCTGTCATCTGTAGGAAGTATTTTTCGAATTATATGTTAATGAATTATTATTAATATTTCCAAAATTAATTATTATGAGTTTAGTGATTCCATTCAAAGGCGATTCATTAATGATTTATTATTATTATTCAATCATGTGTTGATCGATTGCAAAAGTATCGTTCGTGTTCGTAGTACACTTCGCAATTTGCATTGAAAGTTGCTTATAATAAATCAGGTTTTAAAATAATTAATAAAACATATTTAAGTATAGTTCTTATAGTTTGTTATAGTTCTTATGATGTCTGCCATAAATGCAGCTCCTATCACAGCGACTGACAGTTTGTCGCAGGCTTTAAAGGCTAATATAATACCCAACCAGGAGTATTTACTGCAGGTAATTTATGATAGTTAACTTTCGTATTTGTGTTAAGTTTTCTATTGCATTAGCATTTACTTACTGTAGGATTAAAAAATAAAGAAATAATAAAATACATATATATTTATACATAATGTATATGTATCAATTGATCTCTTTTACTTCTATTGTTTACAATTTAAAAAAAAATATTAATTATAGGGTTCAGTTCTTGATTCAGCTGTTGAAGTGTTACTCCATCGATTAAGAGGTCTTTGTGACAATGTTGATGCTGGACCGGAAACATTTGATGATCAAGAAGTTTGTTTTAGTTTGAGAGACCCAAATCAACAGGTAAATAATATAATGTTTTTGATTGCATGATTAAGATTAATTAAATATTTAAATTTAAATTCAAGGATAGTTTTGGATAATTATGCACAGAAAAGCTTTATAAGTTGTTCTGAAAATTAATCTATATCTATGTTAAATCTGTGATTGGAAAAAAGTAAGTAATAATTTTAAAAACTGATAAATGAAAATTTTACTATAAATATTCACAATTTATAAACATTTTACAGTAAATGTATAAACATTTACAGTGGTTTACAAATTACTATCTAGCTAAGTAGGAGATTCCATATGCAAGAGTTTCAATACTGTACATCAATAGTATAGTAGATTCTTATTTTTTTTTTTTATATTTTATTCTGTAGACTTCGTAACTTACTACATCACTCAATATTATGTCCACAACCACCCAATTAACATGAATTCTATTATTATTTAATTATTTAAAACTCTACAAAGCCAGTTTAAACTCTGAATCACTAAATTGGATTGGTAACTATATTTTTCCATTATTCCATTTCCATTATATTTATCAATAATTTACAAAAATTTATATAAATTTGACATTGAGTTTGAAACTAAAAGAAAACAATCCATAGATTCTTAATTTCTTATATTTCAGGCTGCTCCTCTTATGTTGAGAGTTAGAAAGGCGTTGGATGCAAGAGATATGCCTTATCAACTACGATACATTGGTCAACCAGATTTAGGAGACAAGAATAGACCTACAGTTGTAAGATCTAGCTTAGATATTGCCTGCAGTGGAATGCTTATAGAGTTTCTAAATGAACTTGGCTGTAGAATTGAATTTGAATATAGTGTTAAAGGTAGATTTATATCTATAATTGTTAATTTTTTTTCTTAACAACAAATGTTCGTATCAAACAAACCTTATAATTTTTGCATATAATATTTTAAAATTACCACTTTGGATCTGTTCCGTAACACCTGGAAATTATTGTCAAGGTGCCGAGTTCAGTACCCTATTAAAAAAATATAAAAATTGGAAGTGAGACATCATGATAAACAATAGAGATGTGAAATGGTTTCCTCCATTGGGATGAGTTCAGGACAAAAATATATTTCGTTCAATTTTAATAAGAACTTTTTTCTATGCAATTCCAGGTTACATGTTTAGAAAGGGAAGAATGAAAATCACAGTTGCTAAAGTGTTCAAGATTTCACAAAGCTCAATGCCACCAGAGCCAATATCTCAGAGTTATTTAGTTGAATTGTCTGTAAGTACTACAAATTATGTAACATTACATATCTGTTTTTGGGGCTTCAAAATTAAAAAAAAAGCTAATATTACAAAATGTGCATTTATGACTAATTGCTATTTTTGCCAAGAACCCAATCTCTATGACTATGATACAATGGCAAGATTGATTCATTATTATTTGAAATTACGTAAATGAGCCTTTTACTTTCTATGTAGAAAAATATACCTGAATGTTTCAGACTTGCTTGTAAGGTGATTCAGTTACAGTACTGCTGTAAATTGTAATGAACATTACATATTTGCGCTTATTTTTTTATTGTTTATTGTCAGCAAAGGAATAGCAATCTTGAAGCAAACGCTTTTAGAAATTTTAGGCATAGACAATCTATATAGGGTACTTAAACGTTGCTTAGGCTTTGCTTACAAGTTTAGTGCAATCTCAGGATTCAAATTTTAAGTTCTTCTGGGCTAAGTATTGACTAAGTGCATGATAAAGCAAATCCTCAAGATTTTTTTTCCTGTTTATTTTGATCACTTGTTAGATTCTAATTTTATTCTTTATGAATTTCAACCTAATGATAGAAAGCAATTTTATTCTTAGGTTTTGGCACCTCAAGGTCAAGATGCTATTGGAGAAGACATGCGCGCATTTGCCGACCAACTACGACCATTAGTACAACTGGATAAGATTGATTATAAGAGATTAGGTCACATGACAGTAACATAATATAAAAAAATTAATAGATTTTATGACACAATACATATAATATGTTTTATTTAATCTGGTTTTACAATTACGAATTGCGTTTTAACTCCAACATCAAAAGATAACATGCAAATTGTGCGTGTACTATTAGAAATAAATAATTCTTGATTCTCACAATTTTATTGGGCACACTTTCACTAGAAACAATCTTATAGATTCGAATCTTTAAATTATGCGTAATAATTTTAAATATTATTACAAATTCATATTAAAAAAAATTAACGGATTTCATCGTGAATGTATTACATTATTAACTCAATATTCGAAATTCGGTGAAATTATAAATATAATAAAGCTGAAAACACGACCGTTTAAAACGTCACCATCAAATATTTATTTCAAAATGATTAGTGTTTTCCTTATCCACTAGGGGCGCTGTGTGATTCTGTATACCTGTCACCGTAAAATTGTAAACACCGTTACAATTAGACGGTTTCACTTCGATAGATTACAATCTACCGAAAAATAATACGTTAAATTTTAAGCAGTACGTTGAGGTTCACAATCTTCCGACAGTTCATAATCTCGCGAGATTACAATCTAACGGTTTTTACAATTTTACGATGACATACCAATATTTATATTATTTAATCACTTTTCGACCGGCCGCGGCGTGACACACTAAGGCTAAACTATTTGTATGGGAATGACATTGGTACACGCTTTGTCACGTAAATACCAAAGCCCAATCCGTTCGAATCGTCTTCATGAATCATAAGTCAATATTAATAATAAATTAATATTCAAATCCTTTTAAGAAGTTTTATACTTATCAAATGCTAAATTAACACACAAAACACCATGTTACAAATAAAACTACGTGATTTAGAATGCTTTTTATTCATACAAAATCTGGATTCTTTTTCGTATTTATTATAGAATACTGGTCTTCTTCATAGTCCATATCTTCTCGTTTTATTCCATGAACGTAAGCAAAATTACCAAAGAACAAGCAATTTTCATATTTCAATGGAATAAATTCTGAAAATGGAATATTAATAATTTTACCTATGCAGTACCTCTAAGGATGGACCTGCATAGGTACTATGTTCTTGGTCATATTATGGTAGTGCTCGAAGTACGCATGAACATTTCTCGCCTAAAATAATTTAGATCACGAAAGCATTCCCTATCGAGTAGCGCCAAACTGTTGCACCAGATCAGAATTAAGTTGACTGGATGGTACTCGGAGGCGGCTATTTTTTGTAGTGCTTAGATCTTTAATATCGTTGAATTTTCTTTACTGGCTGTAAAATGTATGTAAAAAGATTACGATTGCTAGCAATTACGAAAATCTAACTCAAGGTTCTATGAATTTACCGCCATTCTTATATTTACCATACGCGCTATTTCCATGAGCGCCATCTAGTATGTAAATTAAAAATACGTCTTTTTTATGGCAAGTTATAACTTCATGAAATACGACTTTTATTTGAAAATTTTAAGTTGAAATTACAGTTATTAAAATTCATCTGAGAACTAGGAATTCCTTTGTTTTAAATTTTTGTATATTTTGCCATTTACTATTTTTTACTCATATCAGCATAAATTAGAACAAAAATACAATTTATTTAATTAATACAGTTATTTACTTACCGCTACCGTGAATGCAGTTGTACAAATCCATAACGCAGTGATTGTCAAATATATATGTGGTATTTGCATCGAAGTTAAAGGCACAAATCTTTTGAAAATATGTAGGACAGATTCCGCATCTATAAACAGATGGTTTATGAAAACACGTTTGGAAAATTTTCTTCAAATCAAAACCATAAGCAAATCGGTCACGTTCACAAGCTACACACAACTATAAAAGTGATATCGAATAAATCTAACCTCATCATTTTGCCAAGTGTTCAGAGTTTCAACTTCATCGAAAACGGCTTCATCTAATGCCTAATAAATGTAATTACCTACATGATTTTACATCGGCGATTGATTCTTCTATTTACATATTTTTGGTCATAATCGGGGCGTTACTTAAATCTTAGGGAAATAAGAGAAGATAATACTCTGCTACTAGCTGACAAGCTTTGAATAATAATAAGTCTAATTAGTCTTTTGATTACCCGTTTGACCCTCATTCGTTGTGCATTCAAACCATACCACAGTGGTCCATCCCTAGGTCATAGGGCTGAAATGTCGTGGTTGAATTATGACGTCATTTCACTACAGGGTAGACAAATAACCCTTCTACCCCCAGATATAAAAAATTACAATAACTGAAGGATCTTTCATTTTGTGCAACCGAAGTGATAACTTCCAATAGTGCTAATTAGCGTTGTCTTTGTCGGCAAAATTTCTTTGTTTTAAAGTGTTGTTTTCTCGGAAATTGATTGTTTGTGATAATTTTGTGCCTGGATATTCAAATAGAAGGTATGTACGACATTTTTAATCCTATTTTGTTTACTTTAACCGTGTCGTTATCTGTAATCAGTACCATCAAGAAAGACTTCCGATTTCTTTGAGTTTTACCGCTTTGCCTTTTTAATTAGACTTTTACTTAGGAAGGAACGAATCCCCAAAGATGAAACATATTCAACTATCTCTTGTTTGTCTGTTTTGAATCTGTAACATCTGGTGCGCCAAAGTGCGCCGAGGATTGCTGATAGGTCATGACAAAGACAAAGTCGTATATAGGTAAATTTGATACCTTATATTTTCATCTTTTTTCTGTGGTCCATCATCAAGTGTTCTTTTCCTCGAATGCTTGTCCTAGACACGTGGTTGAATGCGACAAGTAAAGAAAATGAGGCAGTGTCTCGTGAAGTGTTTGGAATGCTAGCAATTCTTTACCGGACACTGAAAATATCAAGACCGATACTTAGAGATTTAATTTGTAATCTCTGTAAACGGTTTGCTGCATTTGGAAGAAACTGGGGAGGTCAAAGCTAGCTGATTGCCAAATACGGTGACTGGTTAAATGAGATCGAAGTCTGCATTCTTGGGAGCTCTGACGGAGAACTACATGAAAACGACGACGAGACAAGCGAATTCTTCATCTACAAGCAGGACGCAGCACAGGAGGAGTTTGGAGAATGCAGCAAGAGAAGCAAACGTCGCAGGTTGGCATTTTTCTCAAATAGACGATTCTGCTATAAATCTTTACTTAGTGTTCCAATCAATCAGCCGACAGTTTCTTAAATTCAACTCTGATGAAATCGTTTCTTTTTACTGAAGCTAAACTAACTAAACATCAATACATTTTATTAAAAACTTGTTATTCTAAAATACCAAATGCTTTTCCATGTTTCAAAGAGTGTTGGAAGCCAAAAACGTTGCTACCCAACTGATTTCGCGTAACGGAATCATCTGCTGAGATTAATTTGCAATCGTTGTTAGATCATACATCAAGTCGAACATTCCCGAGAAGTAACTAATTGGATCTTTTGAACAGACTTCTTCTTAATTCAGACCCCTTTTTCTAGCATAAGAAAGTTACCTTGTAAGAAGAAGTCTGTATTGCAAAATAAGTGTTGGATTTATTATGTACTTAAACTATATTGGCATAAAGAAACCTGTAAATTTGTGAATTATTGTTTTCCTATTATGTAAAAAGACGATGTTTTATATAATCCTATGTTCGTTTTCTATTTCTGGTAATTTTTTTTTATTGTAATTAGCTTTTTCAGAAATATTTATAATAACTTATTTCCTGCTACCTTTATTTATTGTACGGATGGTCCTTTTTTTGAGAATATACATCTCCTTTTTAAAATATTTTTTTTTCTTGTTTTATCATTAAACCTTAAAACAATATTTCTTGATAAAAAGTTAATTTCATTTTTAATCCGACATACACCTCTTGACCGCCTTTCTTGGAACTGGACCACTGTGCATACCAATGAATTTTTCCTTCTATGTGCCCAATTAACACTTGCCCGTACGGTGAGGTAAATAGTCGGGAGGAAGTTTTACATCGAAAATGGACGTGTTATAGACACAGAAGGTGCTAAATCCTTGCCTGCACATAAAGAAATATTATCAATGAAACAATCCATAAATAGTGTAACACCACTGAATAAATGAACAATAATTATATCTGTTACCTAATATTCGTTAAATTCGTAGTTTAAGGCCACAAAAAGGACCTTCCCCTACTTGGAGAGTATTACTTTTTAATAATTCACCTGTGTCCATCCGGCGCAGGGTTCTGTTTATACTCATTGCCTGTATTGTCATCGTAGCTGGCGCATAAACATGTACCTAAACCAAGAACATAATATTTTTTAAATTATTCATTTGCTTGATAAATTTGTTATGTGTCAATCATGAATTATAAAATTTGCATGATTTTCACACTCGCGGCAGAGAGATTCATGACAGTTATTCTTGAATGCAACAACTTTATTTGAGATAAAATAATGAAAATAAAGACCTCGAATGAAAATTCCGATCATTTATAGAATATCATATGTGGCCGTTAATCGTAACAAACATGTTTCCAAAATTGAAACGATACTGGAGAAAGTTTCTGTGGGGGTTAGTAGTAACCTTGTTAAGTTTAACCCTACAAAGATTCAGGTTTGTTCGTTTTCTGCCAAGAAAGATCCTTTTGTCGTGTCTCCTGAATTGCTCTCCTTAGCACTTCACACAGCCTCAGAATGCTTGGGGTTGGCATATCGAAAGGAGGCCAATTCCGCAGTCATCTGGAAGAAAATGCCAAACTGGCTTCCAAAAAGCTGGGTGTTTTGGGTAGGACTAAGCAATATTTCACTGAGGTTCCACGTATGCATCTTTTCAAGTTGGTCAGATCTCTGGGCCGGTGCTCCCAAATACCAGCTTCTTTCTTTTGACCAAATTCAGCGAAGGGCTTATCGAATTGTCAATCTCCAACGAATTACTGATCGGCTTGATTCTCTATCTACGCAGAGACATTGCGTCTCTATACGCTTTTTAAAAAGTGTACTATGGTGACTGTTCCGAAGAATTGTTTGGGTGGATCACTCCTACCTCGTTTC